ACCTACTTTAATTAGGTAGAAGTAGTGGTGATTAGGGTATGACTTACTTTAATTAGGTAGAAGTAATGGTGATTAGGGTATGACTTACTTTAATTGGGTAGAAGTAATGGTGATTAGGGTATGACTTGTTTTAATTAGGTAGAAGTAATGGTGATTAGGATATGACTTGTTTTAATTAGGTAGAAGTAATGGTGATTAGGGTATGACTTACTTTAATTGGGTAGAAGTAATGGTGATTAGGGTATGACTCGTTTTAATTAGGTAGAAGTAATGGTGATTAGGGTATGACTTACTTTAATTAAATCGATGGAACAGCAATTATGATACACATTTTCTAATTGGATGGAAGTAACAGCAATAATTACCTAACAAGTAGAAATTTGGGTGTGTTAAACTCTAATTGGTAGAAATTTTGGCATATTTACTCTCATTGGTAGAAATTTTGTCACGTTTTACTTTCATTGGTTGAAAGAACAGTAATTAGATTGCAGTTTCACTTGTTTTTTGTCTAGGGCCTTTATAAACAATTATTAACATAAAATTTAAAAGATAAATTGATAAATCAAGTTACAAAAATATAGCTTTGTCAAAAAGATCAAAGTCCATTTTGTTTGATATGCGAAGTATAATAAATTGTGTGGCAGCAAGAAATTTAGTTCAGAAATTTAGCAGCAGAGTAATTGTGTTTTCTGTGTAATTACTGTTTTAAAAACTAAATAAATTAATTGGATATGAGAAAGTACATTTAAGTCTTTCAACCTAATTCAGGAATTTAAAATTCATATCTTCTTGTAAGATGTCACAATCTCAACACAGATTTTTTATTTTTATTCAGTGAAGCCTACACAACGTTATTTGGTACTAATCCCTTGAACAGACATCGAATTGACATGAGCATACTGGGTGAGTGTGGTTTATCAAAATCTGATAGTGTAGTCAAAATAATCGGTGTTTAGTGGATAAATAATTAAGAATAATCTTTTAAGTTATTATTATTTTAATTTGATAAATATTTTAAACCTAATTTGAACAGTTATAGGTGACATATTTAAACTTTAACATTCTGAAAGTTTCAATATTTACTTTGAAATATCCTCATTTTTAAAAATTTATTTTTAATCATTATCATGCTTTTATTTTCATTAAAAGCCAAAATTATTATATATAAAATAAAACTGTTAATTATGTAATATATTATTTGTCTTATGTTCCTACACACTCAACTCGTGTAGGTAATATCACATTGAATAACATTATTAATGTCTGAAGTTGAAGTATATCTCTCTGAATCACTGTATCTTTAGACCTGCCAATCAAGAGTTTTGTGATGTTGTCATGTGGAGGAATTGGAGTTGACTCTGACACAACTTGGAATGAACTTCATACAGCTAGTGCTTCTCGAATGGCCGCGGGATGCGTTATAGAACTGGCCCTGAAAGTAGCTACTGGAGAAGTCAAGGTGAATTAAAAAAATCATATTTACTGAAATTTCAGAGGAAGAAGAGATAAATAAAAAATTGAAAGGTGTTCTTTAAGTGAGAATGCACAACTTGCTACAAGAGTATTTTTTTATTATCAGTGAAGTAATGAAATGTTGCTGTAAAATTTAGAAAGATTCTACTGAGCAGATGCACTGTGTTAAGATTGCTGACGAAGATATATAATGTATGAAAGTTGATGTTGAAGAATTAGATCTTAAGATGTAAAATTTAGAAAGATTCTACTGAGCAGATGAACTGTGTTAAGATTGCTGACGAAGATATATAATGTATGAAAGTTGATGTTGAAGAATTAAATCTTAAGATGTAAAATTTAGAAAGATTCTACTGAGCAGATGAACTGTGTTAAGATTGCTGACGAAGATATATAATGTATGAAAGTTGATGTTGAAGAATTAGATCTTAAAATGTAAAATTTAGAAAGATTTTACTGAGTATATAAAGATTACTGAAGAAGATATAAAATGTACAAGTAAAGAAAACTTTTTAAATGAAATTATTCAAAAGTTAGTCCTAACTTTATTACATTGTTTTTAAAGGCTTAATATTAGCCATTCCTACATTTACTTCCTTTTTTGAAAAGTTTCCCT